AATGAGAGTAGATAGACCTGAACGCGATTTAATTATGAGGATTATTGAGATATAATGCGAAAAAAGATTTTCACACCTCTGAACTATTAAGTGAACTTCATATGAGCATGCAACTACTTGTAGTGAAGCATACAAACATACTACTGCTAGTGAACATCACAATACAACTACTGTTGGTAGACAGAACAACAACAACTGTTAGTTGAACAAACAATAATAACTTTATGGAACATACACAACAACTACGATGAGTGGACAAACAACTAACTACATGTGTCAGGTGGAACAAATACCAACAACTAATGTTAATGAAAAACTACAACTACTGTTAGTTGGAACAACACAATACTGTTAGTGGTAACAAGACTACAACTTACTGTTAGTGGGAACAAACCAACAAACTACGTGTAAAAAGAACAAACTACAATACTACGTCAGTGGAACAAAACAACAACACTGGTCAGTGAAAAAACAACAACTACTGTTAGTACTGGAACTAAAAACAACAACTACTGTTAGTGGAACGAGAACAACAACTACTGATTAGTGAACAAACAACAAGATACACTGATAGTAGGAACAAACTACATATTACTGTTAGTTGAACAAACAACAACTACTGTTAGGGAACAAACTACAAAACTACTGTTAGGAACAAACAACAACTACTGTAGTGGAACAAACTACAACTACGTTATTACAGACTTTGACGTGTGATTTATGTCCGCGAGAAGATTAACAAAACATATCACCAGTTTATTCTCGAGTCTACGGTGCGAAACTCTAGAGGAGATTATTCACTGAACCAGAGTTATGTGAGTTGTTGATCAAAAACTAGTCAAATTTTGGAGTGTTTATTTTGTTGTCCATGTTTGATTTTGTGATCTGCAAGTTAAAATGAATTTGATGAATGGGAGTCTGGTGGGCTGCGTTTGAGTGCAGACATCTAAGTTAAACCTGAAAGCTGTACATAAAATAACACATGCAATAAAAGTAATTCCTCCTCTCTATGATGTAATTCAACTTGTTATTGTTATTGTGTGTCTCATTATGTGTATGTTACTAATTGTGTTGTTTCTATTTTGAATATCAGCTGAAACATGATCCTGTATAAACACAAACAAGACATTATTCGGAGGAAAATATCTGAACAACAAGAAGAAAAACTGAATTCTGACATGAAAAAAATAAACATTAAACTGTTAACACTATACCATATATGTTGTCCTCCCTCTCTCCCTTAAAATCCTGCGCTTAAATGACTTACTTCTTTAGCTCTCATCAACTCACCCTTTCCTCCTGTGTGCCCTTTATGTAATTCTCAAAGTTAATTTATACCAAACTGACATTTCCACTGGAAAAGAGAATAAAACGAACTTCAGAGGCCACGAGGGAGGTGGATAACCTTGGTGTAACTTATTGTGCGTGTTGCGGTGAAGTGCGGATGTGTGGTGCGTGATGTTGTGTCGTGCGTTGTTGTGTTGCGTGTGTATGTGATGGAAGTGGGTATTGCAATAAAACGCCCTGGAAAAAAAGAGAAAAAAGAAGCGACAAGACACGGGGCAGAGATAAATGATTTTGGTACGATATTAGATGCTCATTGGGTATAATTTAATGAAAATAAGTATAATATTATCATGAATTCCCGCCTGTCTCAGGGGTTCAGTCGGTTACAACAGGACTGTTTTCAGTACCCAGCACAGAGTTTGAAAAGGCTAACGGTTGTTAAATAGGTGACCTGTCATTTAGAGATCATAGTGCTCTAAATACAGACTAGTGTTCAAGATTCTGTGTTTGCTAATCCTCTGGCCCAAGCACTGTTGGGATTTCATCATCAAATTGGGCCGAGCTCTGTAAAGTGGAGACTCGTGGATTCCCATCAGAGAAATGAAGTCACTTTAACAACCTTCCAGCTTCAATCTGTGCTGTCTGAAAATGTCCTGTTGTAACCGACCTGAACCCACCTGAAGACAGGAATATATGATAGATATTATATTTTCATTAATTATTACAATGAGCCATCTAATATCGTATCAAAACATCCATTTATCTCTGCCCCGCTGTCTCTGTCGCTTCTTTGTTCTCTTTCTTTCCCAGGTTTTTATGCAACATCCATCACACACACGCACACAC